GGTTAGTCGGCTTAATCGCGCTTAACCAAATTGCTTAATTCAACATAGAGATTTGCCCTACATTAACCTAGATAGGTGGCTTAAAAAGCCTAAGGAATCCCAACTCAGTTGAGCCTCCCTTGAAAGGGGGTTTTCCTTCTCATCTAGGTTAGAATGGCCAATTGGATTGCTAAGCACAAACATGCACAATCAACATGAAAAATGCTCCCACTCATTGAATTAAACAACACCCGTAAAAAATCATTCAATTCACCCAACAACTACATGAAAAATAGTTAGGGCTTCACAACACCCAGGGGCGGATACATGGACCTCTAGGGGTGTCCCGAGACACCCCTAAAATTTGGAGAAACGATTATCCAACCTCCAGTAGTAGTTTCGTATGGGTATACAAAATATAATTGGTAATCCGGGACACCCTAACATTTGAAAAAAATGATTATCCTACCCTCGATAATAGTTTGCTTATGATTAACAAAATATAAGTTGTAGTCCGTGTTATTCCAACCTAGGACACTACTATTATCAAATATATTCTAATTATGTTGCTACTCATTTGTTATTCTATTTTAAACATCATGCAACAGTAAAATGCTATTTCTTTATCCCCAACTATTTTCAATACCTAATAATTAAACTACGTACATGCTACCCTTAATTTTGAATTGATTTTATGGTTACACGGCAAGTGTTAAAAGGGTCTTTTCTACTTTAGCTACATTAAGAACAAGGTTAGAAATTGAATATGTGATAAGTTCGTGAAGTATTGTCTAGTAGGATATGTAGATTTTTTTTGAACAGTGCAGACACGGACGGAGGTTATTTTTTTTTTCAAAATATGAATTTTAATTTATTATTTAATAAAAAATTTATACAAATTATACAAGTATGATATTTTTAATATAAGAATTATTTAATTTATTATATAATTTAATTTAATTTTTGAAGAGGACACTCCTGTGAAAATTTTCTGAATCCGCCACTGACAACACCCATGTGAAAAAGAGTACTACTCCATGCTAGGAAGGGGAATAACACAAGAGGAAGAGGTAGAAACCATCATGGTGATGCCTCCAATCTCCTTTGAGCTTGTGTTGATCTTCTCTTGGGGAAAATCTTCCCAATCCACCACTTAAAGCAAACCCTAGCCTTCTTTCTTCCTTGGTTCGTCCTTTCTCTCTCTAAAATCTGAAGAAAACACTTTCTCACACTTTGGGCTCTCCCTCTCTCTTCCTTTCAGCTCACATTATATACTAGGATCGGGCTCAGTTCACGGCTGTGAACTCTTCAACGCGTCGTGAACACAGAGCGCGATGTCGAAACGCACCGCTTCGCCATCAGGAGTTCACGGTTTGGCCTCAATCTTCATGGTTTTGTTGACCGTGAACTCGTCCCGCGGTATTAACTGCAGAATTCTCCCTGGACGCATCGCCGTTCACGTTTTTTAGCTTCAATTCACGACCATAGTGGACCATGAACTCCCATGATAAACCGTGAACTGCCCCTGGATCACCCTCTTTGCCCGGTCTTTGCCTCTTTTCGTCCAACTTTCAACTTCGGTGCTGCTTTCACCTGTTGGATCCCGAAACACACTAAAACGCACAGAACATGGCGTAAAACCACCCTTTTGGGAGTCCAAATGCTACAAACGCCCAAGGGAAACGAGAATAAAATGTGTGCAATTAGGCCCGAATCATCTAATATATTCATTCATTACATAATAGCCCTAAAACTAGTGTTTGGGGTTTAGAACCCTTAAGAGACTACTCCATAATGGAGGGAAGAAGATACATAGAAAAATTTGGGGAAAACTTGGTGTTGAGGAAGATTGCTCCTCTCTTCTAGCTTCTCCTCTTTCTCCTACTTCTCATTTTCTCCTTCCTTCAGCTTCTCTCTCTTCTCTCTCTCTAAGTCACAAATTTCTATCTCAAAATCAGCTCTCTTAAAATGGGGGAAGAGGTCCTCTATTTATTGACTTCAGGAGGACGAGCAAGTCGCGGTTGAGCAGAGGGAGATCGCGGTCGTGATCTTTTCCTCCGAGACCGCGATCTTCAGGCGTCGCCATTTTGGTCTTCGCTTGCTGGGGGTTTGCAGGCTGACTTCACGGTCGCGATTCGTTAGTCGCGGCCTCGAACTTCCTCTTGGTCAGGAGAGGTGGTGACCGTGATCAGACTAACAAAACTTTATGTTCTTTCTCGGTTGGCTTCTTCACGAAGTTCGCGCCCAAGGGCTCTAGTTTCGCGGTCGCGAACTTGGATTCTCAGGCCGCGATCTTCACCTCTGTTTCGCAGTCTGCTTTCTTGGCCGAGATCTTACCCTTTAGGTCGTGATAGTCAGCTTCCTGCTCATTTTGCAACACTTGTGCCCTTTTCGTACCTAATTCACATATATCGTCTAAAGCACATAAATTAGGGATGCAATCGATGATATTCTTCTAATTATGCACATGAATTAGCACGAAACAAACCTAGATATGAAAGATAAATAATACCAATTTGGGTGTTATCAGCCACTAACCTCTTCCTACATTTCCTCATCCTATTAATGCAGTGCATAACTTCATGACCCGCTATTACTTTCTCTACTATTTGCCTATCTTGAATGAATTAATGCATTTTATCCTCTAGTCACGATTTCTGGCAAGATTAGAGCAAGCCTCTCATCCATAATCTTGGCAACCATCTTATACACAAACTAACAAAGGCTTATAGGGCGGTTCTTTCATGTTTTCAACCACCTTAGGTAGATATGGAATATATGTGTGTAATTGATGTTCGAAGCAAGGTACTAGTTTGGAAGAAGTGGCAGGATGCCTTTGGTTACAACATTCCCACAATATCCCAAAAATGAGTGAAAAAACACACTAGTAAAACCATCCCAAAGCCCACATTGCACTGATGGAGAACACCACATGCCTTATCTGATGCCAGACACTGACGCGATCTCCGCCGCTTTGTGAATCAAAGAGAGTATCCATTGGTTCTTCTATTGATTGGTTGCGTTATTCAATTGCTGGGGTTTTCGATTGATTTGCATATGGGTTTAGGTGTTCGATTGTCCCTGAAACTCCCAGTTGTCGGCGTGGCTCCAAAATGTCCGAGTTGTCGGCGTCGATCAGCCCAAGGCTCTTCCTCCTCCCACTAGCGGTGGAATCGAAGAACAAAGGCGGCGGCTTAGGGTTTTTTTTAACTTTCCTAATTTTTTACTTTTGTTATTTTTAAATTTATTAGATTTTGAATGAAAAATAATATTTAATGGTGTGGCATTACATGGTAGAGATTTTTGCTGCCACGTCACAAAAGTCAACATTTCTGTGACGCCCGTCTGGTCAACCGTTATCTTTAATACTTAATGAAATCATTATGACAAATAACACAAAACTATAATAGGTTGGACATTTCGGAATATTGAATAGATTGATATTGGGTTAATTGCATGGTTGGTTACTGAGATTACAAAAAACTTTCATGTTTGATCACTGGAAATATTTAAATCCAATCTTGGCCACTCAAATTAGTTAAATGGTTCAAGATTGGTCATTCTCTGTCCAAGTTCGTTAACTTTTGCTTATGTGACAGTCAACTTTTATAGTTGACTGTTAAATATGTGACATGTCGATTAAAAATAATAAATTTAATTTAATTTAAATTTTATATTTCCACCTCTCCTAACCGAAACAGGGGTGGCAATGCTCGTCGGATTCGTCTCATCACCTCCTCGCGAGCACGGCCGAGGTTTCACTCATCGAAGAACTCGCGAGCACGGCCGAGGTTTCGCTCATCGAAGAACTCGCAAGCGACCGTTAAGGTTTCGCTCAGCGCTGCCGTGGGGATGCCGTGGTTGACGATTAGAAAGATGCCGAATCCGGAGCATGCTCGTCAGATTCGCCTTATCGCCTCCTCCTTCTTTGCATCGTCAGCGCTGGGAGTAGTAGTGAAGAAGGAGCCACAAAAGCGCCATCGAAATTATTCTAATCAATCCTTGGCGCTGACGTTGAATTTGCTCCGCGGGAAAGGCATGGCTGCTCTCAATTCCTGGTCCGATTTCGAAATGAATTTTTGATTCAGTTTTTTTTTTTAATTATTTTTTTTTTTGTTTTATTAATCCCAAGCACCAGGAGCTACAAAAGCGGCTTTGTCTGGCACGATTAGGCGGAGAGCGATTTCAACTACCCGGCCCACGGCAACGAGTACGTCATCAAAGGCTCGGAGCTTCTCGAACCGGTGTCGGCGCCGTTGGTCGAGTCCATGCCTTCCTTCAGATCCGTAAAAGTACCAGCCGAGATTCAGAGTAAGAGTCATCCTCGTCCTCGTCTCCGTCGTCGAAAGATGACCTGGATCCTCGCCTGACGATCGCGCGGCGGAGGAACTAGTCCTGGAGCTCCATCGATCTCAGCGAGTACAAGGTCTACAGAGTAGAGTCGTTCTCCCAGTCGAGCCGGAGGGTGGCGGCGGACGCGGCGACTCAGACCGACAACAAAAGGCGGCGGAGGAGGCCGGTGAAGCTAGCCGAGGAGCCATCGGATTCCAGCCCGGAGACGCTAGAGACGCTGATGAAAGCGGACAGGCGGCTGATACTACTGGGCGCAAGGAGGAGCGGCGACTGATACTACTGGGTGTTTGTGTAGGGGCAACGTCGAAATCGGTGCTAGAGCTGATGAACAGGAACGGTGGCGGAATAAGGTCGGGGGAGGATGTTGGTGGGAGGGGATAACATTAACAATTAGGATTTTTTTAATAGTTGTGAGAGTGAGATGGAAATTAGAGAAAGATTAAATTTTAATTTTTAAAATTTAATAATTATCATGTCACACATTTAACGGTCAAATATAAAAGTTGACTGCCACATAAGTAAAAGTTAACGGATTTAGACGGAGAGTGACCATACTTGAACCATTTAACTAATTTAAGTGACCAAAATTGGATTTAAATATTTCCAGTGATCAAACAAAAACATTTTTTGTAATTTCAATGACCAATCATGCAATTAACCCGATTGATATTCAACTGAAACTTTTTTTTTTTTTTGTTCGGGTTATAAACCCTAACTATATACATATGTATATATCATTAAAATTACATATCATTAATCATATCTTGCTACGATATAACCCGCCCGCCCTGCTCCGAGTGAAACGAGGATTGAGATATCTACACCGCCCTTAGAGATGACTCATCCGCTCATTTCAACATTGGTGTGGTCCCTGCAGCAACTGCAACTCGCTAACCCAACTTTGTCGAAAAGTCCTCTGATGCTGAACAATAGCAACTGGGCGGGGAGGAATGTGTCAGAACGAATGTTGAAATTCTTTTAAGTGAATGCATTGACAAATACCCGTCGTAGGCCCATACCCGTTCATCAATTATCAAACATCCAACCACAAATTTTGTGAGCTGGGAATGTGTCCTACTTCTGCTTCCCATATACCCTTTTCACTCTTCCCTAACTTGTGGGCATAAGGTACCAATCTGAATCTGATCTTCTTGCCCCTGTTTTGACTTGGTGGAGTATACAGCCACGTTTTGGCATCATCCTCATCTTCATTCATCTTACAGGAAATTACGAACCGAGACCAAAAAAAAGAGACGAGGGATGTAAAAAGACGAATTAATTATAGCTAGGCTACCTGAAGAAAAGAGTAAACCCCATCATATAAAAAGATTTTGAAAAGAGAAGAAACGAGTGTCAAGTCAGTGAGATGCTGAAGTGAGTGTCCAGAAATTCTTGGTAGCAACCAGTATTTTCTGTGGCCCATGAGATTCCTGTTCTTTCTCATGTATCGTAGCAGTCCATCTAACAGCATTCGCTATGCGAGCCACTCTCTCTATCGCCTCAGGAGAATCGCGAATCACCACTGTTCCTTCTGGTCGCAGTATTCTGTCCATCTCCACCATCAGATCCACGAGGCTACACCTGCAAACGAAATTCATACTATTGAATATCGTAGAATATCCGGAGGATAAAGTGAAACATGCATTCAAGGAATGACTTGGTTTCCAACAGTAAGAGCATGAGTTCACTTTGTAGCATTGCTTTAGCATAGCTAGCTGCATCAAGTATTTGTGGCGCATGCAGACATGCATTTCCTAATAGACGTCTTTCTATACCAAATGATGAGCGCAGGGTTCTCTTGAGGAACTTCAGTTGCATATCAGTTTCAGTTAACAAAGTCATGCAATGGTGTGAATAACCAATTTCCATCATCTCTCAGCATGTCTTGAATTACAAGTAAAAGAAGATGCAGCTAGAGAGACCTGGGTCAAAATACTTCCTAAAACCAGTGTTCAAGAAGACGCGATTAATCTCTCGCCTAGGCGCGATTAATAGCTGGGCAGGAGGAAATCGCCCCGTCTAGCCCTGGGCGATTGATCTAGGCACCTAGGCTAGGGGTGGGCAACGGGACGGGACGGGATACCCGTCCCGTTTTAAACGGGTACCCAGTCCCATTTGGAGGCCAAAGTCCATCCCATATCCCAAACCTATATGGGAAACAGGTACCCATTACCCGTACGGGACGGATAACGGGTACCCATACTACCCATAAATACCCAAAGTTTAAACCACTCAAATTTTAACAAAAGTTTAAACTTAACTTGTACTTGCTTAACAATCACAAGACACAAATCAAGAACAATCACAACGCATAGAAAAAATCATTCTAAGCACCAAATTATCAAATAAGAAGTTTCATTCAACACAAATCATGAACAATCACAACGCATAGAAATAAATCATTCTAAGCACCAAATTATCAAATAAGAAGTTTCATTTAACAAAAGGGAGTCTACAAGTATTATGTTCACATAGCGTTCTTTGTTTCTTTACTAAGAAAAGTTTCATCTTTGTGGCGAAGTGGACATTCCCTTTCTATGGATTAGAGTTCGCAAATGGGTAAAACGGGTACCCACATTACCCAAACGGGTATTTGCGGGTAACCCGCGGGTACCCATATTAGGAATGTACAATCCCAAGTCCCATCCGTTCATAATATTACGGGTAATATGGGTACCCGTAACCCTTAAAAAACGGGACGGGTATGGGTATACCCAAATACCCGTTTCCCGTTGCCCACCCCTAACCTAGGCACTCGGAGGCGAGTTTTCACTCTGGTGGGCGACGCCCAAAACAACTAATAAAGAGGGAAAGTATGGCCTTTTTGTGAAAATCCCAAACCCTATTCTATTTCCCATTTCCATTCGACCAATCGCTCCCCCTCATCGACCAGCAGTGAGATCCCTCCTCATGGTTGGCGACTTGGGATGTTTGGGATTGTGGAAAAGGGTTGTATGTGTATATGAATGGATGGATAATGATATGGTGACTTGGGTTTTTGTAATATGGTTTATCTATCATATTTTTTTCAACGTTTAATCTCGCCTAGGCAACGACTAATCGGCCTAGGCGTTGGGCGGTGCCTCTTCGCCTAGATAGCGCCTAGCGTCTTCTTGAACATTGCCTAAAACAAGTTACAAGAATTTCTTGCACTATGAAGCCCTCCAACGTCAGATTTGGAAATCTCTCAGTCCAGTTTACCATATTACTACTTTCCATTTAAATTTGGGAAATCCGCAGACCACAATTCATCAATGAATTTCAATAAATCTTTTATTTCCCAAATTCATCTACATCTCAAGCTCCATCAATTTTGAAATGATACAGTTAAATGACACCCTAATGACTGTAGATCATAATGCAAACTGAAAGTACCTGTTTTTGCCAGAGCCTGGAGCTTTTACTAATGATTCGATTCCAGAAACGTGGATTAGATCATAAGTTCGAGGATAAGTTGAGAAGGGCTCACACCTGTGACAAGAAAAGTTAGCATGTTAGCAAACATTATACGGAAACCAATCGAATCACGGCATATCAAGCACAGTAATGAACAATATCTAAAGGCCTTCTTTGGTGTCAACATGTTAAACAAAAGTCAGTTTAAAAGCTAAAACAAACACATTACTCAAATTTAACTTTCGGAACAACTACTAAACCTAATTCTCACAATTATTAAAAGTTAAAACCCACATTAACGAATAACATTCATTTTCAGCTTTACCCACTATAGAAAAACAATACATTCTTAAAGTTATACTCATCATAGTCGCTGCTCAAAACTCTCTCATTTGATTATTATTGAACAAACTATATACCATCCCACACTTTATAACCAAATAATATCTCACCTCTCATCAACTCAACTTTTTTTTAAACTCATCCTCGCGCTTTTTCTTCAGTTCTACTAAAACTTCAAAAAGCGTTACTTGATGTTTTAGCAAGCTGAAACCAACATCCCCTAGATTATGTATAATAACGAATTCCTTTAACATGCTTTGGTTAAGTCGAGTACTTTTAACCAATATCTCACATGCTTTTAGAGTTGCTTCTACAAACATAGAGCTAGACAAGTATGGTTCACTGCTTCAGTCTATCACGAAAACTTATTAATAGCCACGGCAAAAAAACTAGGGTTGCTTGAAATTCAGTATAGACTTAGGTCAAAATGCTAACAGAACCTAAGTAATAAAAACCAAAGTCACCACAATAATCAGACAGAAAACTCTAGGATTTTTAAACTACTGTAGCAATCAATAGGTTTGAGCATCAGGGAATGGAGATGGTCCAATCACTCACTTCTCAAATAGAAAATAGAAAAGTGGAATCCACGCATAACCACCAACCATCTTAAGTTGACATCCTAAGTTTTTGGATTCAGAGACAAGAACTCACCAATCATGATAAACACCAATAAGGCCCCTGTCGAAGATTACATCCAAAGTTGTCGGCTTGCGAGCAGGAACAACATTCATCACCCACACAGGATCAGATGCTAGTGCTGCAGCAAAGCCACCAAAAAATGCATTCATATCCATCACATTGCGCACGGCCGGAGTTCCCAGCTTGACATTGAAAGAGTTCTTGTAATAGGCCACCCTCCTTGCCCAACGACGAGTGTCGGCCTCAAATAAATCAATGCCACTCTTCATGAGAGCAGCCCTTGCAGGGGCTTTGTTTAATCTATTTGGCCAAGACGGAATCCCCCCGACATCATATTTTCCCTTTATTGAAGATTGAGGGGTCACACATTTCTCCAATTTATAGTACCTGCAGCACCAAAGCAAGTCTGAGCTTACTAGAATAAAGGTCCAGTTCTCAAAAAAAATTAAGAATAAAACTACAGCCATTTGTAGGAAATGAAGACTACTAGATGGAATTTGAGCCTGAAGGTCAAATATAGGATACCAGACGACTGAGACTATCACAAATAGTGACCCCATGTACAGATAGGGAAAGCACTAATAATCACACAGAAGCTCCCAAAAAATGTGGGATGAAGTGCAGACAATTACCATGCAGAGCTTGGATCAACCGATTCATCACACAAGTGAAGGCCGAATTCATTTTGACTAGGCAGGCATGAATCTCCGGTAGGCTTTTTCCAAATGACAGTGTTCCCATCAACAGCAATTAGCTCATAACAAAGTGCTCTGGCCACACCCTGAAGATCTGCCCATTCTTTATCTTGTTTAGCCCATTGTACAGGAGGACCAGATATGACTAAATATCCTCCTGGGCGAAGCAAGCGATCGACTTCAATGAAATAAGTTGCATCTGCAAGCCAAACATAAAAGGTAAGAGACTGTAGAATTGTAAAAAAACACGAAGTGCACAGTTAGAGGGGGGTGGGAGAGAACTAACTGTAAGCCGTAAAAGGGATTAAGCATCTAGAGCAGTGAACCAAGTCAAATGAGAATGCAGGGAATGGGAGCCTCCGAGTGCCAAGCATCGCAACAAATGCCGGAATTCCTCGTTCCAACGCAAATTGTATCTGAGATTTGTGTGAATCTCTTGGGGCAAAAGAAAGAGGTAGAAGTCCTTCTTTCATCAGATATCCTCCCCAACTGGCAACCTGTGAGTAACTGTTGTTAGTCATAAACCTTAAAACTTGATAACATCATGATCATGTTAGAGAAGGAAGAGAACAACACAGCTCTTACCCCACATCCCATATCAAGGGCAGTCCTCAAACCTCCGTTTCGGATGGGAATATACTGTCCAAGTTTCTCAATGTAAGGTATGGCACCTTCTGGGAACATGGTGCCACCACCAGGGAAAATAAAGTATTCGCCGTCCTCTTTCATCCATCCCTGATGGCCTTTTCTCTCAGCAATTTTGTTGTGCGGCATGTTTGCATGCCAGATCTACATATTTAGCCACGAGAAGTAAAGATCGGCCCCATAGAACAACCAAAAACTAAACACAACGCCATCAAGACCGAATCTAAAGGCAGAGACTGTAAAAGGAAAGATACATAAATCTCAAGATCATGCCATAAATCCTGCCGCGGCTAGGCTAAGCAGTAACATACTTTCCAAGTTGGCAATATATATACAAGAATAAAAGCAAGCATTCGTAGTACGTTTCAGGAATTACTACACACATACCTTGTGCAAACTATCCGGCCACCTGACGGGAACTCTGTAGCCATTTGGTGGAGGGATCAAGCAAAGAGGCGTCTCGTCCGGTATTGGGCATTGACGTTCCCTATAGAAGTTCATCTCTCTACTAAGCTGACTATTCCGCCTGGGATCCTCACATGGCATGTGATCGACCTCCTCGGCGGAACAAGCCTCAATCGGCTGAGGATGCTGTCCAGCTTCAATGAGCTCGACGAGGCGGTGGCGCTGCCTGGGATCCGAAGATGAGAGGAGAAGAGCCTGCCTGCCGGAGGCGGCGAGGGAGTCGCCGAAGGGAGTGAAGACAAGGAAGAGGAAGAGGACGACTAGACCGAAGAAGGCAGCGGATACGAGGTCGAGCAGCTTCCATTGCTTAGGGTTTCGCTTGGATGGGAGGCTCAAGTGCCCCATTCAACGAATATTGTGGTGCGTGCCCTGGTCTGCTGGCGAGATCTTGATTGCAGATCAGAGGGATCGGTTCTGGTTAGGCAAATGTAGGGTAACTGGCTGGAATTCCGGATTACAGCAACGCCATGAATGGCAACATCAGGTATATGGAAAGTGCTGAAACTGATTCCTGATTTGCAGCTCAAGATGGGAAGGGAAGAAATTGAAAGGGGGAGCTCCGTCGAGTGACGGAGGCCAGCGGAGTGGAAGAGAGAATGGATGCGAGAAGAGGCAGAGGGTGGGCGTGGAATGGAGTAGAGTGGAAGAGGGAAATGAGAGATCGGTGGCTAAGTGTACATGTCGGTGACAGATCTCCAACAGTAACATACTATACAATGCTCTTGGTCACGGATACGCAATGTTTTCAAACCGGTTTAACAAATGGATGGTTTTTTCCCCCTTTTTTTACAGAATTATTGTAACATCCCGAAATTTTTCCCGAGCAAGATATTGTCCGCTTTGGGCCTTCATCCTCACGGTTTTCGACTTGAGGTGCAATTCAAGTTGACTTCTTATAAGGTCACTCATCCTTGTTGTACTTCACATTGAGCACGTTTAACTTCGGAGTTCTCACAAGAACTCCTCCATTTCACCCCCAAAACGCGTCTTGTCAGTTAAGGTCGGTTTCTTACTTATGAACTATGAATCTCTCTCGTGTTTTGTCGATGTGGGATTTGCCTAAGGTATTACATACATCCCCCCTCGGGACTCAACGCCCTCGTTGAGGTTTGCCCCACCATCGTTCACGAGGGACGCGGAGAGGCTCTGATACCACTTGTAACATCCCGAACCTTTTCCCGAGCAAGATATTGTCCGCTTTGGACCTCCACCCTCACAGTTTTTGACTTGGGTTGCAATTCAATGTGACTTCTTATAAGGTCATTCATCCTTGTACTCCACACTGAGCACGTTTAACTTCGGAGTTCTCACAAAAACTCCTTCATTTCACCCCATAACGCGTCTTGTCAGTTAAGGTCGGTTTCTTACTTATAAACCATGAATCTCTCCCGTGTTTTGTCAATGTGGGATTTGCCTAAGGTGTTACAATGATCTTTATTGCACATCTTCTTTTCCTTTATAAATGTCTATGTTAAAAAAATGGTCGGGCGGGCCAGAACGGGTACCTCAATACTCATTCTCCGTGGCATGCTACTACCGGTCGGAGTGGGTAAAACCCACGTGAGTACGGGGTGGGACGACTCGACCCACTTTTACATGCTATTTGAAAACAATACAAGCAAAAATATATTTTTTACGAAAAAACGAAGGGGAAAAGACTTTATGATTGAATAATAGTGATAATATAATGAGTAATTTAGTCTGATTAGTTGAAAAATCAAGTCTAACTAGTTGAAAAAAATCAAAATAGGAGATATATCAATGGATAGCATAAAAAATTGACCTAGAATAGGCCAAGAACGGGCGGGGCAGGGCGGGTCGAAAGTTGATACCCGTGCCCCGTCCCATCGCGCGTTAGGTCAAGTAATACCCGTCGGGATGGGTTCAAATTACCATCCCTACATCAAACCAAGTGTGGAAAATACCGCAAGGGGGAGCAAGGAACATATTGATATCACAAAAGAAAAAAAAACAACCTAGCTCTTGAAATAAAGAACGTAAATTCATAATCCCTCTTTCTTCCAACTGAACCAAGTATCAAAAAGATCAGAATAGGTTGTCTGATCACAGCGAGATCAATGGCATTGGACATAGCAAGCCATAAGCCATCTCCTGGGGAGTGCTCAAAGTCATCCATCACAGTGAATCTCAACGAGAGATTGTCTGACGGTGAAAGAGGCTGTGAAACAGAATTCTCCAAGCTGTGAAGGCAGGGGGGCCAAGGTAGAGAGACAGGTTCAAAAGGGAGCAAGCTTCCAAAGAGAGCCACAGACCGCCACAAAAGAACTGACTTCCGCCGCAGCTACTGGAGATGACTCACCCCTCCACGATTCGACGACCATCCAAGCACCAACAACATACTAGGGAAGCTAGATAGGGTAGATGCGAATGGCTTCACCTTGGAGATGAGACCACCAACCTGAAGGGAAACCATCACATATCAAGCTTCCCAACTTGCAACCTCCAGATCCCCAAACGAGCAAGTCTTGAATTTAGAAAATCCTAGATCTTGAATGCCATAACGGCTGAAGAAATTGGAATGCTTGAAGGAGAAAACCTAGAACATAAGCAAGAGGATCGAAACCAGGGAAATCAAGAAAAGCGAAAGAAAATAGAAACTTGGGCTGCCACCGGTCACCAGAGGAAGCCGGCGGCAGTCATGGAAGGCTGGAGAATAGAGGCTCTCTTAGAGAGAATGAGAGTAAAATTGAAAAGGTAAAGTAAGAGAGTAAAGATAGCCTTTTTTGGCTAGACATTAAATGGATGGTTTTACTGGGGGTTAATTGCAAGGTTGGTCACTAAGATTTTTAAAAGCGTTCACGTTTGGTCACTGAAAATATTTAATTGCATTCGTGGTCACTTAAATTGGTTAAATACTTCAAATTTGGTCACTCTCCGTCCAACTCCGTTAACTTGTGCTTATGTGATGGTAAACGTTAAGAGATGACCGTTAAATATGTGACATGGCAATTAAAAAATAATAATTTTTAATTTTTAATACTTTCCAATTCAACCAATTCCACCCTCCGGTCGCCGCAACAACTTCTCCGACTACCTCACCCAACAGATCATCGAAAATGCCTCTGCCATCATCAGCAAGTGAAACCCGGAGACCTCGCCCTACCCCAAGGTCACCTCTCTCTTCTACGAGAGCAAGCCGGAGGCCCTCCAGTTCTTTGCTCCTTTTCTTCCAACTTTCGACTCTGTGGTTGATCTCACAGGTTAGACTCCGAAACACACTGAAACACAAGAAACCAAGAGTAAAACCACCCCTTTTTTAGCTTAATTGTCACAAACGTCCAAGAAAAATGGGGATAAAAAGTGTACAATTAGGCTTGAATCACTGAAGCATTATCAGTTACAACTTTGACAATATTTTCTTCCCCAACTTTCTCCACGACTTTATCCAACATCGTAAACACTTTTGTAGAAGTCTTTAAAAACTTAGAAGTGTCAACATCATTAAGAAATACAGTGCATGAAGGACTGTTAACCAAAAAATTACAGAGTAGTGCCCTTTCTTATATGTCCAGCCATAAGACATTAGGGTACAACCCACTGTCTTCCATTCTTCTTTTAAGATTTCCAATTTACCCTCCACTTATTTCATTTTCTCTTTCAGAAATATCTCCCTTGGCTCATGATACAAAGGACCCTTAAAACCAAGACCATGTCGAGCTACATTTTCAAACATCTTATCAAATTTAGGGCTTCCACATGCATTGAATAGAACTTCATTTTCATAGAAACATTGTGATATTGTCTTGCAAGCCGTTTGCCTAAGAACTTTCTTCACAGTTTCACTAATTGTTTTTTGCTTATTAGTGCCACTGCCACTAGCCACATTCCTCTTGAAGCTCGAATCAATATTTGAGTGAACTAAGTCTTGATTTGGAAATCACTATCATCTCCATATCGACCAACATAGAGATCATGCAGCTTCGTTGCTTTGGATGTCTTCTCTTCTTCATTTACATTGAGTAGCTCCAACATTTTTGCCTTGACTTCATCTGGAACACTAATACAAGCCCCATCATCCTTTTTGTTCCTACAAGATGATGTTTGAAGCGAGAAATACCAAAGACTCCCTTGGCACAATATTTGCATCTCCCTCTATGCCCATTACTAAGAACATCTATCCTATTGCTCTCTTTCTAGGTCATGACGATTTCCTAGTGCATTTTTTCTCTTTGCTACCACTCGACATACTGATAGACCGTTAATTGCACATATTTTTACCTCCATTCTTGAGCCGTTTGAGATGTTGATTCTCGTGTTTTAAGCCGATTTCACGCTAGGTTGTGTGTTTATGTCACATTTCAGGATTTGGCATTGACGTGGAGGTGAGGAATCGAGTTTCGGGTCAAAAGGAGACCGTTGGAGTAAAAGGGAGCTGGAGGAGAAAAATACCCGGCCAGGAGTGGAAATACCCGACCGGGTAAAAGGCAAGGAGAGGCCGGGGAAAAGCTGAAATCCCAGGAGGGGTCCTGGCCGGAATGCTTAAATCCCCGATCGGGTATGCTTGACCTCGATCAGGGATTAATCCTCTGCCAACGAGGTGCATTTCAAAAATCCCCGGCCGGGCACCTAAAATACCCGGTCGGGGATCGCGAATGGCAGGTTCTTAAGGGAAAAGAAGGAAAATTTGAAGGGTTCCGAGTTTGAGAAAGAAAGTGATACCTAGAGAGAGAAAGCGACGAACCAGAGTTCCCAAGCGCATCAGATCGGTCTTCATCATCAGTGGAGCTCGGACAACGCTTGGAGGAGTGCCGATTGCCGCCCAGAAGCAGAACCCCATTCTTCACGCATGATTTCTGCTTTTGAGCTAGAGTTTGCTTCTCTCTCCATGGAGTAACTTCCACATTCACCTAGGTATGAAGAACCATAGATTTGTATGTTAGGTCTGATTGTATGAACCCGAGTATGAATCCGTTGATTTGATTATATTCAATTGAGATATGATTTGTTGAATGGCATGAATCCTGATCAAATTCTTGTTGTTTCTGCTTTGACCTAGAAAGAGAATATCTGCATAGGTTGATAGAGCACCCTTGATTGAAGGTAGTGAATTGACGACTTTAGTCGAGGAGTCAATTCACTATTCTGTACCGGATTTACTTCGGTAGAGGAGGTTTGGTTCGTTAGGGCCTCAATCTGTTTACTCTGGTGGAGGTTAGTCGCCCGCTGGGGACTCTGATTGAGAGGGTCTGGAGAACTTTAGTCGAGACTGCAAATTGTTTAAGAACCTCCCGCAGTATAACTACCTTTGAATTCGAACTTGGCAAATTACAATTTGGCTTAACTGCAGTCTAGGGGGAACCATATTCGGGTGACCTCTCTCAACT